AATTTTTCAGTAATTGTTGATAATTTGTTTAAATTAAAAAACACTCAAAAATTCATTACACTATTCAATTCTACGGAAAAAAATAGAAAAAAACTGTCTCATTATTAGACCCAAAACTTTATTTTTGTACAGTATTGCTATAAACATTTTTATTTTTTCTCTGGCTTTATTTGAAAACGAATTTTAAAATAAATTGCATATTTACAATGCCACTTTTTTCGCTCTATTCAATGGCGTCAACATTTTTGCAATCCGACGTTTCTACTATTAGCAATACTAATTAGAAATAATAAAATATTTCATAAATTTCTATAATTTTTTTATTAGGTACAACTTTTTAAATTATTGATTAAAAAAAAATGTTGGGTATTTTGTGATGTATTGACTTTTATACTGTAGTGACTTTCGGAGACGAAACGTCGGATTGCAAAAATGTTGACGCCATTGGATAGAGCGAAAAAAGTGGCAATATAAATGTGCAATTTATTTTAAAATTCGTTTTCAAATAAAGCCAGAAAAAAATAAAACGATTTTGCAAAATTAAGGGTTTCGGGTTTCGCGGCAACAGTAGACTTTGTAGCTAATACTTTGTATTGCTGAAACTTAGATAAAGGTTTGGGTCAAATAATGACACATTTTTTTATTTTTTTCCTAAGTAGAATTTTTTTTTGAAAAAAAGTGTTTCAAACCGGAAAAAATGAATATCTCGGAAACTTCTACACAGAAAGGTATACTTTCACCAAGTTTCGTTAAAATTAAATTATTCTTGCGGAAATGAGTACCTACAAAAAACGAAAAATCAGAAAAAAACTGTTTTTCGCATTTTTCTCGGAAATTTTGAGGTTATCTTAAAAAGTGACCTCTATAAAAGTTGTAGATTTTTGCATGATCCACAACTATTGTATTAGATACTTTTTTATTTGACGTCAACTTTCGCCAGAAATCCCAACGATACAATTTTTCACAACTTTTCAACCCCCCAAATCAACCCTCGGCCGCCCCTGCTAACGCATTTATATTTTTTTCGCTTACCATTTCTACTTATAAAATTCCAAGTAACAATTTTTTTTTTCGAAGTGTAATTTGGTTGTACTATTAGGCCCAAAAGCCTTAAGGAGCTAATGTTACCGGTTTCCAAAATGGAGGAGGTTAACGTCTTTCTGTATCGATCTATCTCTTCATTAAAACCCTCAGAAAAACTAGTACACTGGGTGTTCAAAAAAATAATAGGTACATTTAATTCCCTGTCATATATCTGATAAAAAAAAGGATGAAGTAGAAATGAAATTACATTTTAAGAAACAATTAACTTGGTTTTCTTTCAGGTGGACTGCATTTCCACGTTCCAGTGATCAAAAAAATTTTTTAGTACCGTCACGCCATCTATACAGAAAGATCTGAACTAACAGTTCTAACTACAATTTGAAGCTATTTGAGGGACCTAACAACCCCAATATCCGGAACTAAAATAAATTTCTTCATTTCGGAGATATTAGCAGCGGGAACGTTAAATTGCACACCCTGTATATCGCAATAACAGCGTACCTAGTGTAGATTTTGTAACTTCATTTTTATTGATTTGCCTAACTTCCTGCCAAGGAGTAGATAGCTTTATGCACTAAAAATTTAGTTTTGAATACGAAACGTAGATGACGCAACCATATCTGATATATGCGCCAATAATATCTATACCGGATTGCATGCTGATAGAAAGAATAATTGCACGCAAAAAAACTCTTGCTTCAAATGTGCAACATTTGATTTATGACATCGCACGTTTATACATACGCAGGAAAATATTTTCTTCTTTCAAGAAAATTATTTATTTAATTAAATACTTTAAATTTCTACCCAGAAGTATAATTTCTTACTTTAAAAATAGGCAGCATTTAAATAAATATTTGATACTTACGGTTCCAGGGGTTCCCAAACTTTTTTTGTCATGCCTCCCTACTGCCTAAAATGAAAATGTCCATGCCCCCTTTCGCCGCAAGCAAGAGAAAGCTAGTGGGCTCGCAATGCAACTTAAAGACACAACAAGGGTAGTAAGTCGAAAAATTAACCTTCAATCACAAAAATATTAATTTCACAGATAAATAAAAGAAAAAGTCAATACGACGGATGAGCTTGCATGTTTTTGACAAGATTCCCAATTCTGGGTTGAATAGAAGAAAGTGTACAACGTGTAGATCACTAGCAATATCGAGTTTGCTTCTGTAATTTTCTGTGTTGATGGCTACAAATGCCGAAAATGCCCTTTCGCAGAAATAAGTACTTGAAAACGTTAAAAAGAGTTTCAGTGTTTCTTCTGCTATACTGGCATAAACTTTGACATATTTTACCCAAAACAATGGCTTATTTGGATACAAATATTTCGCAATAATAAAAAATATTTTGTTTCAAACTCACAACACCTAGTCTAGTACAACAGCTAGGATGGTTTGTAAGTTTAACCAACCAGATATAGGTCGGTTTGGGACTTATTGATGGTCCTCATCAGTATGTCTTTATAGCTTTGTTTTGGTTCCTACACAAAACGGTTCTAGGACAGTTCAAATCAGTTGACCATTCCATTCTAGAGCTGGGTCGCTCATGAACGACTCGCAACGAAGGAGTTAATCGTTCATACCGGCATTGAGCAAGCACTGAACATTGAACGAGCCGAGCACGCAATACTCGATTGTTTCACTCCAGAGTCAGTGTAAAGAATAGGGTCATTTGTAATAAATACGATTGTGTTACTTGTCAAAACATTTTCTGAATAAGTGCCACCTCCCACCAGTTGTGCACAATAGGCACAGCCACATTTCGAAAGAGCAGGAGTGAGCAAGAGACGAGTGTTTATTTGAGCAATTTCAGCAAAGTCAACATTCAACATCTTGCACGTGTCGTTCAAATTGTCATATAATCTGAGCGAGCGAACTTCAGATTTCGAGTATCTTTCGAATCCAAGTTCCAACGCCCGGGACAACGCTCCAGCGCAAGATGTCTACGCAGAAAACGAAGCCATAAGTAATATATTCCACAATGTTTCCGATCCCGAGCCCGAAGTCGTCGTCAGCAGTCATATTTTCGACAAGGTTTCCAATCCGGAGACAAAGTCCGCAATCAACAATTTCACCAACGTTCCTATAACCCAAATTCAAAGCAAAAGTCAGTCAGAATTTGCATAACGTTTCCAATCTTAAAATCAAAACCGCCGCCAAGAGCAAAAGTAAAATTTTCAACAATATTTCCAATCCAAACCTCAAAATCCAGTACCAAGCTCCAAGTCCGGTTTCTAGCATAGAAGACCGAAGACAAAGCCATAATTTGCATAACGTTTCCAATCCTGAAGCCGAAGCCACTGTCAGAAGCAAAAGGAACATTTTCAACAAAGTTTCTAATCCAAACCTCAAGATCCAGCACCAAGCTCCAAGTCCGATTTCCAACATAGGAAATCTAATCAAGTCATAACTTACATAATGTTTCCAATCCCGAAGTCAAAGTCGACGTTCGAAGCAAAAGTATAATTTTCGACAAGGTTTCCATTCCAAATCCGAAAATCCAGGACAATACCTTAAGTCCGATATCTAGTACTGCAAATTTCCATTTTCGAAGCCGATATCACCGCCAGAACAGAAAGAGAAGAAATCGACAAGGTTTCGAATCCAGCCACCATCCAGCCGCCACAAGCCGAGATGAACATTCATCTGCGGAAAACAAACAAAACCGACTATGTTTCAGATTTCCCACATCGCAGAGCCGTAGTTGAGCCAAGCCAGCAGATGCAAAAATCGACCCACTTTCCAACGGCAGTCCGTCCTTATGGTAGAAAAAACCCGGCTATCAACCGTGGATCAAGGCCGCGAATCTCCTATCGCGATGGATCGTCAATTGTGGGCATCTGCAGTTATATAACCGGATCAACGTATCCGGCCAGTCTCTGTGTGGGACGCTCCAAATTTTAGTTGCGAACTTTAAAGCCTCTGTAGTCATTATTACAGTTTTTCGCTCGTATTTAACCTATTTGTTAAGAGTCAACTGTGTTTTAATAAATATATATAATCTACCTCTTATCTATAAAAGAAAGATAACCGTCGCCCGGGCATTTATTTCTGACCTGAGGCAGACACAAATCACGGGCCATTAGCCAGCCCTTTCACAACTGTTAGATATAAGCTCTAGTGAAGTGCATTCAACAGCCCCTATAGTTACCAGAACTACAGTGTAGGAAAGTACCGATGGTCTATCAGAAGTTACGTGAGAGCGATAAAGTAAACCATAGAAATCTATGTGATAGACAATAAGATCCACTTCTTATTTGTGGAAGGGCGAAATGGGCGTTGACTATTAGACGCCTTCATTATAGCCATCCTTGTCTATCACATGGATTTCTATGGCTTACTTTATCGCTCTCACGTAACTTCTGATAGACCATTGGTACATTCCTACACTGTATATCAAAAACTAAGCATTTGTTTACCCACGTTTATAAGGAAAAAAAGTCATATCTTGACCTCAAAAATACGCCTCTAAATTCTTTGTACTGAATTTTGAATCGGCCTGTATATGTGGCAAAAAACATCGCAAAGATTTAAACTTTTTTTAAATCTATTGGTGTAAGCCCATGGCTCTGGACAAGTTCGTGTGCCAATCGTTGTATGCTCCACTAACCTTTGGAAATACTATACTTATTTGTCTTTGCACTTAATGTTAGTTTTTAAAATTTATTTTGCCTTTTGATTTTCTGTTGTACCTTCTCCGATAACTGGAATCTTGTCGATTTGGATATTGCATTTCTAAATGAGTAAACAATTCTCCAGATAGTACAGTTGCACAAGATACAAAGGTTACAAGTAATCTTGTGAATTATCGTTACGTTTATTTTATTGCGATCAAAGTGTAGATGTGTAATAACAATCAATATCTCCAAATATTTTAGGTGTGAGCCGCAAGTATAGACCAGAAGATCGCATAGGTGTAAGGGAGGCAAAGGGAGAAGAAAACTTGTTTCTAAATTCGTTTAAATGTTTACTACAAATAGTATTATTACTAAAGATACATCAGTAAGTGAAAAGTAACTACTACATACTACATTGTTCATTTTCTCAGTTCAAATTCCACTCTAATCCCATCAAGGGGTCGTAGCACCAAGTCTGATTTGTATTTCATCCCTTGTGGGGTGTCTATCGGTTTCAGCTTAAATTTCCTTAATATTCCACATAATAAAGCCTTTATTTCCAATAGGGCGTATCGTTGCCCTAAAATTCATACAATTTCATTAATTTCAATCAGCACTTAAAAAACCTAGTTAGGGTGTTCAAAAATTCATGAAAGGTCGCGCCATTTGTGCGGTAAAATGTTGCCAACGATAAAAAAAGACAGCGTGACAGCTGGCAGTTCAGGGTTATTAAAAATGTAGCATTACACGATAGAACAATGCATTTTCATTGTTGAACAACATTTTAACAATAAAGATTTTTGTTCGCAATGTCAAAATGAAAACAAATATTTTATTAAAAACTGACGCTATTTTCTGGCGAATTTCATTCGAAAATTGTCACGCTGTCCTTACTGATCTGTCTATAACGTACCGTGCTATATAGGCTGTTTCCTAACTACGGTCTGTAACACAATTTCTTATGTTATTTAAAGAAAAAAAAGTTCCTATAAACATATAGACAGAAGCGCTAGCTACATTTTTAGTATGGTCAATTATTATCTGCCTCGAGTGGCTTAGTTAGATGTGAGTGAGTCGACGTTTTCGTCATAAAATGTAGAACGCCAATGGATTTTAAATTTTTTAAAATATTTTTGGACTTATAACAAAAAAGGAGTCTTGAATTTTTTGCCTAATACTAATCTATTCTTAGAAAAACAAAACAAACAAACAAAATGTAAAAATTCCATTGGCGTCTTACATTTTATTACGAATACGTCGACCGACTCGCACCTAACTACGCCACTGGCGGCAGATAAAAATTGACAAATATTAATATATTTTTTAACTCTTTTTCAACTCCTGTATCTCGGAATCCAAGCGTTACCGGCCACATATTTGTAGGAAGTAATTTTTTTTTCTTTAAATATCACAAGAAATTGTGTCCTGAAGTTACGGACCGTATTTAGGAAACGCCCTGTATTTATAAACTTAGTGGCTGACCTATGCAGTTTCTGAATCCGGCGCTAAAGGGCAAGTAAGCGAATGGGTGTCGCTTTGATACATTTTCAGGCAGAAACCTATCCGGATCGAATTTGTCCGGATTTTCCCAATACTGTGGCGACCGGTGCAAATCGTAAATGTATATGTTAATGTCGCAGCCCTTCGGTATGGTATAGCCGCTACGTGTCTTGATGTCTTCACCAGCCACCCTGGCAATTAGCGGTACGCTGGGGTACAACCTAAGACATTCCTTAATGCACCTCTCCATGAATTTCNAAATTGTTAAACAAATTTTATGTACCCCCTTTAAGGGGCTGTATCTTAACAAGGGATGCTCCAATGAAGTTTCTTTATATGAAAGATCCTATCTTTTTTTCGATGAGGAATCACCCCCTTAAATGTTTTACACTTATTTAGTTACACCCTGTATATCTCTTATCATTTCAACTCAAATTCCCTTAGAGTCAAACCTCTCATACATCCTATCTAAGGGAAAGACAAGTTGTTACAAATTACAGCGCGACCGACAGCGCGAGAAGCATATAATATATCCAGACACCCTGAGAACCATAAATCTAGGGACAGGTGATAGCGAGGTACGACGACAAAATGAACGACTCGCACTGAACGGCAAACTTAAATGAGTTGTGCCGCACGTGCCAACACATCCAAAATGAACGAGCGACCCAGCTCGTTCATTTTGGATGTGTATACAAAGCGTAAGCGTTTCCATCTATCGTACTACTTCCCACCTACGGCATTCTGTGACCTGCTACAGATTTCTTTCATGAAAACATAAGTTTGATTATAATATGCTACTATTGTCTTGAATACTTACTAAATTTTAAATACACATATGTATTTTAAGGAACTGGTAGTTTTGAAACAAATATGTTTGCAGTTTACGATGAACTGTAAAAGATATTGTAGCTAAAGTTCGAGATAATAAATTTCAAAACTATAAAAGATTTGAATTAAATTGTATATATTTTCAAACAATATAAATTCTAAGAAAAATTATAGATTGCAGCAAATATTTCACATAGTTTGAGGAAAGTAACCTACATTTGTATAGAATAAAATAACATTTACGGCAAATAATTCCATTTAAAACTATCTGTTCATGTGATCCAAATATGTATTTTTTTTTCTGCTTGACATAAATGAAGTGTGGAATACTCTTTCACATTAACAGAAAAAAATATTTGATACAATGCTACAGGGACACGTATTAATTAAAGGATAAAATATTATTTCTCCTCACCCACATATACAGGTTGTCTTACGGTGACGGCCCATTAGAATGTTTCAGAGACTACTTCGATTTGAATTTTGAAAATTTGGGTTCTGGGTTTTCGGAGGTACTCTCTTTAAATAAAATAATGCCATTGTTGTAATTCGCCATTTACTTGCATATTTTGAATGGAACACCGACAAGATAAATTAAAAGTAAACCAAAAAGTTCCCTGTGTCTAAATCTAACCCTTTTCGAGATAATCGACATTTTATAAAAATTTTGACAGATGCAAGCGTATCGGAAATTCCTTATATCTTTTTTCGTTCTGGAAGCTTTCACATGCTATTCGGAACACACAAAGAACATAAGATGTACTACCTTCCACCATCCAAATTACCTGAAGAAAATTATACTAAGTATCCGATTTTTTACGTTACATTTTGAAAACTTAAAATAGACAAAACTTTTTAAATTCAAACGGAACACGCTGTATTTTTTGCACAATAATATAGAAAGTGAATACATTTTCGGATTAAAAATGTTTCTCAGCTTTCTTGACCACATAACCTTCTTTTAGCTCTTTTTTGATACTAACTAAGCAAACGCCCCCACCAAAATCCATCCCTGGATCCGAGCCTGATTCCTGGGTTACGTAATATACAGGGTGTGTCATTTAACACTCCCGCTTTCAATATCTCCGAAATGAAGGAATTTATTTTAATTTCGGAAATTAGCGTTGTTAGGTCCCTCGAATTGCCTCAAATTGTAGTTGGAACTGTTATTTCAAATATTTCTGTATGGATGGCGTGGCGATACTAAAAATTTTTTTGATCCCTGGATCCCTTCGTCTGTGCCCCTTATAGGAATTACCATTGTACAATTTTTTTTCTGTAGTTGATGATTCGTTTTTTTTTATAATTTATTGTTTGTCAGTTAGTACTGGGAGAGTCAATGAAACGGGATGATTTGGGAACGCCACTGCAGATAAAGTAGATGGGAGGGGGACTTGGGTCGTCAACGTTGTGAATCTAGAGATCGGGAAGTTAGTTATCATGGATAGTTGGTCGGGTGAACAACGCGCATTTGCTGTCAAAGCGTATTACCAAAATGGGGAGAGTTACGTCGGTGTGAGACGAGCGTTTCGTTTACATTACCGTTTGCCGCCTCGCGCTCGTGTACCATCTAACAACGCTATTCAAACGTGGGTAAGTAACTTTGAAAGCAGTGGTTCAACAACAAAAAAAAGAGGTGGAAGTGCTAGAACTGTGCGCACGCCTGAGAATATTCAAGCGGTTCGTAATTCATTGGAAGAGAGTCCACGAAGATCCGTTCGACGACGAAGCTTAAATCCCGGACTAACCTACAGCACCACAAGAAAAATTTTGCATAAAGACCTTCACCACCATCCATATAAAATTCAGATTGTGCAATCTCTCAACGTTCGAGATTACGCTACTCGATTAAGGTTTTGTGAACAAACGTTAGAGCATATCAATGAAAACGATAACGTACTGCATAATCTTTGGATGAGCGATGAAGCCCACTTTCATCTTACTGGCTTCGTCAACAAACAAAATTTTCGGTATTGGTNTTTTTCACAACTTTTCAACCCCCCAAATCAACCCTCGGCCGCCCCTGCTAACGCATTTATATTTTTTTCGCTTACCATTTCTACTTATAAAATTCCAAGTAACAATTTTTTTTTTCGAAGTGTAATTTGGTTGTACTATTAGGCCCAAAAGCCTTAAGGAGCTAATGTTACCGGTTTCCAAAATGGAGGAGGTTAACGTCTTTCTGTATCGATCTATCTCTTCATTAAAACCCTCAGAAAAACTAGTACACTGGGTGTTCAAAAAAATAATAGGTACATTTAATTCCCTGTCATATATCTGATAAAAAAAAGGATGAAGTAGAAATGAAATTACATTTTAAGAAACAATTAACTTGGTTTTCTTTCAGGTGGACTGCATTTCCACGTTCCAGTGATCAAAAAAATTTTTTAGTACCGTCACGCCATCTATACAGAAAGATCTGAACTAACAGTTCTAACTACAATTTGAAGCTATTTGAGGGACCTAACAACCCCAATATCCGGAACTAAAATAAATTTCTTCATTTCGGAGATATTAGCAGCGGGAACGTTAAATTGCACACCCTGTATATCGCAATAACAGCGTACCTAGTGTAGATTTTGTAACTTCATTTTTATTGATTTGCCTAACTTCCTGCCAAGGAGTAGATAGCTTTATGCACTAAAAATTTAGTTTTGAATACGAAACGTAGATGACGCAACCATATCTGATATATGCGCCAATAATATCTATACCGGATTGCATGCTGATAGAAAGAATAATTGCACGCAAAAAAACTCTTGCTTCAAATGTGCAACATTTGATTTATGACATCGCACGTTTATACATACGCAGGAAAATATTTTCTTCTTTCAAGAAAATTATTTATTTAATTAAATACTTTAAATTTCTACCCAGAAGTATAATTTCTTACTTTAAAAATAGGCAGCATTTAAATAAATATTTGATACTTACGGTTCCAGGGGTTCCCAAACTTTTTTTGTCATGCCTCCCTACTGCCTAAAATGAAAATGTCCATGCCCCCTTTCGCCGCAAGCAAGAGAAAGCTAGTGGGCTCGCAATGCAACTTAAAGACACAACAAGGGTAGTAAGTCGAAAAATTAACCTTCAATCACAAAAATATTAATTTCACAGATAAATAAAAGAAAAAGTCAATACGACGGATGAGCTTGCATGTTTTTGACAAGATTCCCAATTCTGGGTTGAATAGAAGAAAGTGTACAACGTGTAGATCACTAGCAATATCGAGTTTGCTTCTGTAATTTTCTGTGTTGATGGCTACAAATGCCGAAAATGCCCTTTCGCAGAAATAAGTACTTGAAAACGTTAAAAAGAGTTTCAGTGTTTCTTCTGCTATACTGGCATAAACTTTGACATATTTTACCCAAAACAATGGCTTATTTGGATACAAATATTTCGCAATAATAAAAAATATTTTGTTTCAAACTCACAACACCTAGTCTAGTACAACAGCTAGGATGGTTTGTAAGTTTAACCAACCAGATATAGGTCGGTTTGGGACTTATTGATGGTCCTCATCAGTATGTCTTTATAGCTTTGTTTTGGTTCCTACACAAAACGGTTCTAGGACAGTTCAAATCAGTTGACCATTCCATTCTAGAGCTGGGTCGCTCATGAACGACTCGCAACGAAGGAGTTAATCGTTCATACCGGCATTGAGCAAGCACTGAACATTGAACGAGCCGAGCACGCAATACTCGATTGTTTCACTCCAGAGTCAGTGTAAAGAATAGGGTCATTTGTAATAAATACGATTGTGTTACTTGTCAAAACATTTTCTGAATAAGTGCCACCTCCCACCAGTTGTGCACAATAGGCACAGCCACATTTCGAAAGAGCAGGAGTGAGCAAGAGACGAGTGTTTATTTGAGCAATTTCAGCAAAGTCAACATTCAACATCTTGCACGTGTCGTTCAAATTGTCATATAATCTGAGCGAGCGAACTTCAGATTTCGAGTATCTTTCGAATCCAAGTTCCAACGCCAGGAACAGCGCTCCAGTGCAAGCCCTCTATGTAAAACCTGAAGCTATAACAAATATATTCCACAATGTTTCCGATCCCGAGCCCGAAGTCGTCGTCAGCAGTCATATTTTCGACAAGGTTTCCAATCCGGAGACAAAGTCCGCAATCAACAATTTCACCAACGTTCCTATAACCCAAATTCAAAGCAAAAGTCAGTCAGAATTTGCATAACGTTTCCAATCTTAAAATCAAAACCGCCGCCAAGAGCAAAAGTAAAATTTTCAACAATATTTCCAATCCAAACCTCAAAATCCAGTACCAAGCTCCAAGTCCGGTTTCTAGCATAGAAGACCGAAGACAAAGCCATAATTTGCATAACGTTTCCAATCCTGAAGCCGAAGCCACTGTCAGAAGCAAAAGGAACATTTTCAACAAAGTTTCTAATCCAAACCTCAA